ATTTTACTATACATTATGTTTTTAATGGTCAAAGTACTATTAGCAGTGCAATAACTTGTCAGCTTTATTGCTTTCAGGTTCAGATGATTTCCCAGCCAGGTCCACCAGGTCCACCTGGTCCACCGGGAATGCCTGGGTCTCCTGGATCCACAGTGAGTGGGACATAATTATTCTATGTTTAAATATAGCCATTAACATTTTGTTTATTCTGATACCTCTTCATTGTGTTTCAGGGCTTACATGGAATGCCTGGGCCAAAGGTAGGACCAGGTTATTACTTACCAATAATTTGAGACACTTCTGTAATGTGTTTGTGAATATATCTCTGTGGTGTTCTGTGATGCAGGGTGAACCTGGGGTTGGGATAAAGGGTGAGAAGGGAGAAGCTGGATCACCTGGTTTCAGAGTAAATATCTTACCTTAAAATATGGCTCATAATTCTGGTGTTGATATAAAACAACATGTGACACTGAATGACTGATTTAATCTACAGGGCTCTGATGGTCACCCAGGTTCACCTGGGTCTCCTGGGTTGGTGGGTCTTCCTGGTGCCAAGGGTGAAAAAGTAATGAATAGAAAAACAATATAACAATTTGTACTTGAATTTACAGTAGTGCTTTAAAACATGTATTAATTTTTTTTAGGGCAGACCGGGAGAACCTGGACTAGATGTAAGTTTTAGATCCCTTGAATCAAGCAGAAGTGGGTACAGAGGTCTCATTCACATTTATATTGACCTGACTGTTTGTGTGTCCTCAGGGTTTCCCAGGAATGATGGGGGAGAAAGGTGACAGAGGCGAGAGGGGAGAGAAGGTGAGACAGTGAATCTAAAAAATATGATATCTTTAATTCTCCGGCAGAAATATTTGTATCTAACTGATTGTGAGCTATTTATAATTGTGATTGTGTTGTTATCAGGGTGACAGAGGAGCAGTAGGAAAGAGGGGTCTGAAGGGTCAGAAGGGGGAGCAGGGCCCTCCCGGTCTGGACCAGCCCTGTCCTGTGGTACGTCATGGACCAAATTAAACTTTTGATCTGATCTGAGGAGTCCTTTACTCCTCTGCATTTTCACATCATTTGTCTCTCTTTTCTTTTCCACTCATATCTTTCTTTCCTTCTGCTGTGATTCTCTACTGGCTCTTGCTCAGGGCTGTTCTGAGACTAAAGGTCAGTCAGTCGAGCCTCCGCCCTCTTCCTCTCCACCTCCTCTTCCTCCTGTTGCCCCTGAAGCACCTTGCCCTCTGGTACAGTATCTCTCTGTACTTCTTATCTTTTCCTGTTTGCTTCTTTACTACTTTCTATTTGGTCATATCCTGCCCTTTATTATTTACTGTAAAACAGATGTATTCAAAATATATATGAAAGCATGCTTAGATACTTGTCTACTGTATGTTAATTGTTTTTCTGGGCCTTTAGGGACATGATGGTTTGCCAATACCAGGCTGCTGGCATAAGGTGAGAAACCAATGATGTTACTATAGATGCTACTAGGCCTGTCATGATCATTACTGTATTGATTTATCATTCAATAAATGATAGATGGAAAAAAAATGTTTGGTTGTTATACTTTTTTTGTACAAGGGACAATTTTATTTTAAATTCTATGATAATATTTGAGCTGAAAAGAGTTGAATAAATAACTTGATAAATAACTAATACTTTATCAATATTGCATTTATTGTATTTTACATATATCATTCTTAAAATTTTATTGACAGGCCTAGATGCTACTGCAACAGTCATTAACAATACTAGAACATTTTAAACAAAGCTAATAAAACATTGTTGCTTGACTCTGATTGACTCTGACAGGGACATTTTGTAAGTATGATATGGCCTGTTTGAAATGTCACTAATTCTTCATTTCTACTGTGTTTTTTTTTGCAGTGATAACTAACTTCCAGCATGGGATCTGTACATATTGATATAGTATATTTTGCAGTTGAATACCACACCCATAACCTGCTCCCTTTTTGTAAAGAACATTCGATAATATATGAAGATGAACAGAGATTTTTTGTCTATAGTAGTGTGCCTTTTTGAAGATGTTTCTTGGATAACTCAGTTTGAGGCTAAGGACAGTGTACAGCCTGGAGTGGAGGAGTGCTGCCTTACTAACAGAGTCTTGCTGCCTGATTTTGACCTCCAATCATTGGGCTGATGTCTTTGAATGGACAGTTTGACCAGCAAATACAGACATGTGAGTTTTGTACTATTCCCTGTCTTTCACAAGGAGGAGATGGCGAGGCAAAAGCTCAAACGCAAGCGACTTTCTCAGCCTTGAATCAGCGTGGGATCTGATTGAGAAAATGCATTTTGACAAGAGGCAGTCTGGCCTATATGGAGCTGGAGAAGCTTTGTCATGCCAAAGTAATGTGGCGCTGGACACTCAGAGCCACTGTTAAATGTCCAGGAGGGGGCGACAGAGGACACAGCATTTTTGGGCTCTGCCTTTGGTCAGTGGCACATAAGGATATTTACTGCACAGAGGGGACGCTCTCCTGGACAGTTTCAAAAAGGTGTTTTGCAAACTAATGCATGATCGTGGAGACAGTCTTTACGAATTGTAGTCCCAGTTTGACACAATGACGGTAGATTTTATAGTCAGTGAGTCAAGTTAGTGGATTTGTATTTTAACATTATTTTAATATTTTTTATTTTCTACAGTGGTATTTGTCCGTTTTCATTTTGCATTCCTGTGCTTGGTCATACCAGGTGAACATAAAGACATATGTATAAGATGGAAAAGTAATAATTTTCATTAATTCATGCTGTAGGTTGTATGAGAAATAGAACAAGGCTTTTCAAATGTATCAAACAAACGCAAAAGATGAAATATCCATGTACTTCCATATTAGAGCAACATTAGTTTAAAGAAAGAGGTGGTAAATCTGCCCAAAAAAATGTACAAAAAATGTAACTATTCTGTTTTATCGCTGAAATGCCTTAATTGTTTATGGACCAGAATGCATTTCATACTTCCTTCATCGGGAGGCACAAACAAGGCTATGCACTGAGTCAAATTGTTTAATCGATGCTTTTCATCAAACAATATCATATTTCAAGTCTAAGCCATAATAAATAAATACACACATCCTTCCTGTGTAAACATATGTTCAACTGAATTAAACTACTGACTTTTCCATCTTATTCTTATTAATTGATGTGTGCCTGCATGAGTTAATGATGCCAAAGTTACATCTGTAAGAACCATTTACAGTGTTCATTGTGAATCATGGTGCCAAAAAACATTGGCCATGTTTTTGTGCCTTATTGTGACCGAGATTATATTAGCTGCTCAATTTTGTGTACATTATATACGTTTTTGAATTCAAAACTATGATTGCCTGAAGAACTAACTGTCAAAATCCATTAGCTTATATGTGTGTGATAAAACCACTTTGTATTTCCTTAGCTGTCTTGCTTAATGCGTGTGATCAATCTTCCTATTTTCTTTTGTTTTTATTTTCATAACATAAGGCCAGTTTTACTGATGGTCAGAGCCACCGGACAAGATGACAATTACTGAATGCATTTTTAAAAAATATTATCAGCAAACCATTTCATTAGTTGCAAATGCTTCTGACATTTGTGTTTCCTGTATTTATTATTTTTACGTTGCCTTTTCTTTTCAGTTCTTGTATTTGACCCCTGATAGTTAGGACTATTACATTATAGGCTATTGTTTTTGTTGTTGTTTTCTTACTTACTCATTTCTTACAGTTTCTGTCAACATTAATATAAGCTTCAATGGAGTTTAATGGCACAGTATTATTTGTGATCATGTTTTGTGCATTTGGTTGTGAAAGAATTAAGCTATTTTTGTAATGACTTGTCTAAATATGTATAACAAGAGAAGCGTTTAATAAACATTTAAATTGAAATAAATGTGGTCTTGCCTATGAGTCAGTCTACTAGACTTCAAGAATGACATAAACATAGAAACTAATCTACACATAGAGTGTTTATGTGGCCAGGTAATGTTAATGGACATAACCCTAATTGAGACACATTATGTAAAAATGTCAGTACATTATGTAAACATGAAAGATTGTTAATTTGTTGTTGGATTAGTTAGTTTGTTTTCCTGCATTCACATTTGCAGTCAATGATTTGCCCTTGCAAGCAATCATAATAGTGTAGCAGACCCAAAGCAAAGTAGGTGAAGAGTTTTGTCCAAGGACACAATAACTACATATATGCACTGTTGAAGTCAGCTATCTTTTGGTGAAACCCCTCCTCCAACACCGATTTTGAAGATGCTTTAGAAAGTATCACCACATAATTTTGGAGGTGGCATGTCACTGGCATGATTCCATGAAAATAAAAAAAGGTAAAACTTTGGAACATTCACTGGGATAGATCAGTTTTATGGCATAGGCTACTGTGGAATATTATAGCACAAAAAGAACAACATTTCCATAAAGACAATCAGGTGGAGTCTCCGCAAGATCAAATAAGAGATGTGGAGATGAAAGCTGACTCATAGCACGCATTTCCATGCAATAAAAACATTTAAAAACTTTCTTATATCATTTTTTATTATTATTGTTTTATTTTATGTTAACTGTTAAATATATTTATTTATTTATTGCCAAAAGTTACGCTGTGGTGCTTTAGTCTTCTTCTGAATTGTGGACTAACTATACATTTTTAAAGAAAATGAAGAGAAACGTATACTGTAGTCTATAAAGAAGCCACACCTATAGACTACATTTCCCACAATCCCCTGCACTCGTTTCACCTCCTCATAGTTTTTGCATCCGGGTTTGTGCTTCCTTTTCCTCTGTGCCCTGGTGCGATGAGGACCTAGGTGTGTTGGACCTTTATAAAATCCGAACCCATCCTCGCCAACGGCACTACTAAACCGCTCCAAAATGACCGAGCAGATGACAGTGAGGGGGACCCTAAAGGGCCACAGCGGATGGGTGACCCAGATCGCCACTACGCCGCAGTATCCCGATATGATTCTGTCGGCGTCCCGAGGTGAGGCTTCTCCGCCGGCTACGCCAACATGTCCAAAGCGGCGTTTGCGCCGTCAGAGTTGCTGCGCCGAATAGGACTTTTGTTTACTAACTTCTGACATTATAACTGAGTCTACATGAAAATTAAGGAACAATGAGCCTTATTAACCCCAAATCGCTTTGCCATAAGACCGGTTAGCATTACAGGCTAACTGCAACTGAGTTGCAAATAAAACTTATGGCAGACACGTGTGTAAAGTAATTAGAAATGTCAAACTCAAGGAAGTGTTAAAACACCACTAGTATAATTATGTGTAGTGTGTGGGACTGTGTTTAGGTGCTCTGCTATACCTGTTGACTTTCTATGACCTGTTTCTTGCACTGTTCCATTGGCTTCTAGTCAGTCCTAACTCCATGTGTTTTCAGACAAGTCTATCATCATGTGGAAGCTGACCCGTGATGAGACGAACTATGGTATCCCCCAGCGTGCCCTTAAAGGACACTCTCACTTTGTAAGTGATGTTGTCATCTCCTCCGATGGACAGTTTGCCCTGTCTGGTGCTTGGGATGGCACTCTGCGTCTGTGGGATCTTACCACGTAAGTTTTTTGTTATTAAGGGAGAATTTAATTTACTTTTTGATAGACCTTTCTTGACCACAGTCCATGATTTTTTTTTTTAAATTAACCATGTTAAAAGTTGCAGGTCTGATGCATTTGTGTTTCTTTTGTAGTGGAGCTACAACTCGCAACTTTGTTGGACACACTAAGGATGTTTTGAGTGTGGCTTTCTCTGCCGATAACCGCCAGATTGTGTCAGGCTCTAGGGACAAGACCATCAAGCTGTGGAACACTCTTGGTGTCTGCAAATACACCATTCAAGTAAGATATTAAATTATCGTGATGTCTTGTAAAATTTGCGAAATATTGATCATAGCTTTGGTTTCTGTAGGATGAGGGCCACAGTGAGTGGGTGTCTTGTGTGCGTTTCTCCCCCAACAGCAGCAACCCCATCATTGTCTCTTGCGGCTGGGATAAGATGGTCAAAGTAAGTCTTCATTTTTCTCTCTGAAATGTGGATCTGGTTTTGCCCAGTGATTAAACAAAATTGGCATGTATTACCTGAGTTGATGATGATAATGATAAAAAGATGAGGGTATATCACAATAGTGGTACTAGTAATATATTTTCTGTTGGGATAACTGATCATTTTTGTCCAAAGGTGTGGAACTTGGCTAACTGCAAGCTTAAGACCAACCACATTGGTCACACAGGCTTCCTCAACACAGTGACCGTCTCCCCTGATGGATCTCTCTGTGCATCTGGTGGAAGGGCAAGTTAAACCATTAAATTCTATAATTTACAGCTTCACTACTGTTCTTATACTGTAATATCAGGATTTTACTATGATGGAAATTATAAATAATATCTGTAGTATGATGAAATCAGAGGCTGTTTCTGAGTTGCTCCTGCCAGAACCCTTAACATTTACATTCTTTTGTCCAACTTGTATTAAATATATTTAAATATTTGATTCAGGATGGACAGGCAATGCTGTGGGACCTGAATGAGGGCAAGCACTTGTACACCCTGGACAGCGGTGACACCATCAATGCTCTTTGCTTCAGCCCCAACCGCTATTGGCTGTGTGCTGCCACTGGCCCCAGTATCAAAATCTGGGTAAGAGAAATCCCCATTTCCACCAAATTGTTACAAGCAGATTTGATTTAAAGGCAGAGATGAAAACTTTAATGCCATCTGTATTGTTTGATGATAAAGAGGCTGTTTCTGAGCTTTTCAGCAATAGTCGCTTTATTTAGTGGTCAGGTTGATGCCATTTTGATTGACTGGTGTTGGTTTTAATAGGATCTGGAGGGCAAAATCATTGTGGATGAACTGAGGCAGGAAGTCATCAGCACAAACAGCAAGGCTGAGCCCCCACAGTGCACCTCCCTGGCCTGGTCAGCTGATGGACAGGTATGTCTAGAAGGAGCATGTTATTCTTCAATCTTCTCCCAGTGATTATACCCATTCACTTTTAAGTTCTGATGTCATCTGATGACAGTCCTGCAAATATGAGGGACTTTTGAAACTCCAAGGTAGAAAATAAAATACTCAGTGTTTTGACTTTTTTTTTTTTTTTTTTACAGACCCTGTTTGCTGGCTACACTGACAACCTGATTCGTGTGTGGCAGGTCACCATTGGAACACGATAAGGACTTTTTGTCAAGAAAATTTAAATAAAACTGTTTAAAAAGTGTGCTGTACAGTGTTTTTTTTAATGGCTTATGAACAGTACAATGTTAAGTGCTACATTTAGTTTTTATTTACCTAGCAACTGTGGGATTTGCTAAATTTGAAATGTTGACTGTAGTGTCTGTGCAGTCAGCTTTTTCTGAAATGCAATGTATGTTGGTCTCATTTTGTGTACTATTAATGAGTAAGTCTTTACAAAGGCTTTTGTTTTAGATTGTCAAATTTGCATTGCATCAACCAGGTTTATGTAAATGGTTTATTGCTGGTAATTTTACTGAAATTTTTTGCAGTAGTAGCGCAGTCACAATTCTGTACATGCCAAGACTGATAGAAAACCCTGCTTAATATAATGTAAAATCTTTAGAGTAATACTCTGATGGGGCGACCGTAAGGAAGCCCTACATTAGTATTTGTTTTGGCGTAGTAAAACTCAACATTGGATTTTATCGCTATGTAGATTACACGAGTTTTTCCAGTGCTTTGTCTGCTTTGGCTTTCCGTAGACTCTACTTGTATCCTAGCAACCCCAGCAAACGCGTGGATCCTGCAGCCATTAGCCATCGCAAGTTCGGGTGAAATTCTCACCAAAGAAAGTTTTAAAGTGTTGCTGGGTTTTACAGCAAAATGGGAACTAATTCTAGAGGCCGTGTTTATGTGGAAAGAACTCTAGCCTTGATTAAACCTGACGCTTTTCATAAAGCAGAGGACATTGAGGATGTAATCCTTAATTCCGGTTTCACCATTGTTCAGGTAGGTGGAATTTTTAAAATTAATAACCGTTACAAAGCATTTGCTTCATTACACATAATATCCCATACCTCACAGAAGCGGGAGGTGCTGTTGAGCCCAGAGCAGTGTAGTGACTTTTATGCTGACCAGTATGGGAAGCCTACTTTCCCTAATTTGACCACCTTAATGAGTTCGGGACCGATACGTGCTTACACACTGGCGAGAGAAAACTGCATTGCCCACTGGAAGTTTATAATGGGACCGTCCAGCATCACCAGGGCCAGAGACACACAACCTGGCTGGTCAGTATTCTTATTTTAAGCAGTAAGAGTTCTATGGAGCGGTTTTGTTTTGTTGTTGTTGTTGTTGTTGTTGCTTTTTCATCATGTAAATCAAAAGGAGAAAATTCTTGATGCTATACAGTTTCCCAAATGCTACACACGTGAATGTTTGTACCCAGTCTCAGAGCAAAGTATGGCACATCTGACCTCCAAAATGCAGTGCATGGCAGTGAATCTTTCATTGATGCTGAGAGGGAAATCAAGTTCATCTTCCCAAATAGTAAGTAACACTGTTTTGTTCATAAATGTTGTTCATTTTCTAAAATACTTAAAACCTTAATACCTTTCTTCAGCTGTAATTGAGCCCTTTCCATCCAAAGAAAAAACTGAGGAATACTTGAGCAAGCATGTGAACCCCACCTTGTTAATGGGACTGACTGAACTATGCAAGCACAAACCATCCGACCCTTGTGTAAGTGTGAATAATTTAACATTTTATCTGAACTTTATTTTCTGTTCTCTTTAAATAAACGTTGATTTTTCTCTTGCAGATATGGCTTGCAGACTGGCTTATTAAAAACAACCCAAATCAACCTCAGATCTGTGGTGCAGTTACAGTGGAAGAAGTGGGAAGGCGACAATGAACACTTGTATGCTTTATTAATATTGCACAGTTACTTTTAAAAAAACAATAAATAACATGTAGCTACTGCTGCAGTGCTGAAAATTCTGGTCATTTATTGGAAATGTCTTGGACAATGGTGTGACTAAAATGAATATTAAGGAGAGGACTAAAAAATCAAGAAAACCTGAAACCTTACTACTTACTTTTGAAAAGATTTGCTATGATGGCGATGACGCTAAAAAGTTACGTGGTTACTGCCTTATTACATAGATTCAAGTACCGTACTGGGACGTTTTTGAGTATTTATATTAATCCGTGAATTATAGAGTTTTGAATAAGAATTTACAACTTACTAGCAACCTATTTGCGTTTAATGACATTAGTCTTGGTGTACTGTAGCAAAAGAATGCCTGTTTCTTTATAATAAAAGGGGTGTGATGCTCTACCCCGCTGAGAGGGCGTATTGACATTAGTTGGAGGGGGCAGTGAAGAGCACCTCGATCCTCCAATCAGCTGCGGACTCAATACAAATGCATTTTTTTCTGCCGGCGATAGAAACCAACCACGAGTTATCGTCGTGTGGGAGAATCCATCTTGAAGAGAGCTCTCCGGTTGTGTGACCAGTAAGCCATATTTTTACTCTCCTTTCTTTAAATATTTTAATTATTGTCGCGTAAGTATAACTACGCAATATTCATTTAAACGCCTCGGCTAATCTGTTTGCTAAATCTGAGCAAAGTTTGTACAATTTTTGACCTAACGGAGTGCAGGCCTGTATTACGTAACTGCAAATGTTCACTTGCGCGTCTCGCTCTTTAATTATCGTGATCCATTTGGTTCAGATAAACAGCGCTTTTGTAAACTACCTTGTTTTAAATATGGGTTTTAAGCGTGTCTAGCTTGTGTTGACTCTTTCTTGACACCGTTATGTACCGAGAGCATGAATTAGTGAATGGCTGCCGTGCCGGCCAAAATGGTGGGAAATGTACGAATTGACGCCGGAGAAATGGCGATCCATGGATTCATTAGCGACAGAAGGGTTAAAAACATCTGACAGTAAAACGAAACTCTCTCATTTTCCAGGTATAACACATCAAAATGTCCGACTCTGAGCAGCAGTACATGGAAACAAATACAGAAAATGGCTACACAGGCGATGATTTAAACGGAGCCGGCCACACCGAAGAAGCGAACGACGGCAACGGAGTCGGAGCGGGGCAAGACGGGGACGAGAACGGAGGCACAGAGGGCAACCAGATCGACGCGAGCAAAAGTGAAGAAGATGCAGGGTAGGCGCTAAATCATTTTATATACATGTTACGGGGGCATCATAATGGCCACTGGTGTGTTTCATGTTTCTTTGTTCGCCGGTCTTTGTTGGCGCCATGTGCAAAGCGGGAGGGGGATGGGCAGCAGACAGAGCATTGAAGCGATGTCAAATGTACGGATATTGATCTTACTATAGTTTGTTGTAGCACTTCGTATTGCATTGGTTTTGATTATTTATTGCTTTTTATGTCAAATGTTGCTCCTCATTGAGCCAACAGATGTTTGGGAACATTGTGTGCATTTACACCGCCTCAGATCAACGAGCCTCCCACCCCCCACAGCCATATATAAGTTGGTACTGCTACACCATCTGTAAATTTAAACATGCCCTTTCTCCGTTTCTCCTCTAAGGAAAATGTTTGTGGGCGGCCTCAGCTGGGACACAAGCAAGAAAGATCTCAAAGATTACTTCTCTAAATTTGGTGAGGTGACAGACTGCACCATCAAAATTGACCCCGTTTCTGGTCGATCAAGAGGGTTTGGCTTCATTCTCTTCAAAGATCCTGCCTGTGTTAACAAAGTAAGTTCACTTATGGTCTCTAAGATTAAAGCTACCTAGTGTAGAAAATTATATTAATAAAATGTCCTCTGGCAGGTTCTCGAACAGAAGGAACACAAATTAGATGGAAGACAGATTGACCCTAAGAAGGCCATGGCAATGGCTCCACCGAAAAAGGAACCAGTAAAGAAGGTCTTTGTCGGAGGCATTAATCCTGAAACCTCTAAGGAAGTCATTGAAGAGTTTTTTGGGGCATTTGGAGAGGTACATCAGTCACTTCACATTGTAAATGTATGTTTGTCTTGATTGACATACTAAGCAATTTTTATCATTTGTAGATTGAGAATGTTGAACTTCCACAAGACCCAAAGTCAGAAAAAAGGAGGGGATTTGTATTCATCACATTTAAGGATGAAGCAACCGCAAAGAAGGTTATGGAGAAGAAGTTCTACATGGTCGATGGAAGCAAGGTAATCTCTACTTTCCCAGTGGTCATGTGTTATCATTGTACCAGTAATTAACTATGTCTTTTATTATCCAGTGTGAAATCAAAGAGGCTCAACCCAAGGAAGTTTATCAGCAACAGCAGTTTGGAGGTCGTGGATATGGAGGACGTAGCGGAAGAGTATCTCGTAAGGATCAGTCTATTTGAATAAAAATAACATTACTACATTTATTAATGTTCTATATAGCATCTTAAAAAGCTTTTCATGAAGGTACTGATTAGCTCATCTACATTCGATGCAGTGTCTGACGGGTCTCTCTTGTGTTTCAGGCCAAGGCCAGGGTTGGAACCAGGGCTACAACAACTGGAACTGGAATCAGGGATACAACCAGGGCTATGGCTATGGACAAGGCTACGGATATGGCGGCTACGGCGGCTACGACTACTCTGCTGGTTACGGCCATTACGGCTATGGGGGTGGCTACGACTACAGTAAGCGATAAGTCCCCCCAGGGAAAGAAACTGAATCAGAGAAACCTAATTTTCTTGGTCCTCCTTGTTGTACATAAGCACTTAGTCCCTCTTTCTCTTGTCCTCCAGACCAGGGCAATACAAGCTATGGGAAAACTCCAAGACGTGGAGGCCACCAGAGTAGCTACAAGCCATACTGAACACACGTAGTGCAGGTATGCATTTCTGCATCATCGGTAGTAGTATGAAAACATAGCTATAACCATTGGTGCCTTTTTGACCTCAAAGATCTCATCCAACTTAAATCCATTCAGGCATTGTAGTTGGGTAGCAGCAGGCTGTGATGTGGGTTTGGTCAAGGGGTTCATTTCACCCGTCAGCCATTTTGAAATGCGAATACTACTTATTCCAGAAGGGTTGAATTGGCCATGGAGAGCAGGAGTGAGGGCTCACCCAGGGGTGCAACACCTACCTGACATGCTCTTCCTAGTGTTTGTCCACATAACTTGTCAAACTCATTCATACACCTGTCTTTGTGTAACTGCATGACGTTGGTTTTAAAAGTAGTAACATTAAGCACCATGTTTTTCTCTTAAGGTCTAAAGTAAATAAGAGAGATCCATGGTCTGACCACAACGAACATGGGCTCTGGCTTTTCCTTTGGAGTTGGCAGAAATTTGGACTCATGCTCCATTTGTACAGATCAAGTGAGGAACTGGGGAAGCAAATGTCACTTTTCCACTTTTTATTTTATATTGTTTTGTGTCCATTTACATTTCCAGTGATGGAAGTGTTATTTTTACCGTACTTTTTGGTACCTTTTTGAATCTAATGTATTGTATGGTTGTATTTTTACATGTCTACTGGATTTACAGATGAGCAGAGCAAGAGCTTTTAAAGCTCTTAATAAAACAATTTGCTTTTTCTTTTTGGTCTTTCTAGAACTTAAGTTTATATTCTCCTGTGCTGAGTGTTGGATGCAAGTTGCATGGCTTCAGATATGGGGTGAATAAGGGATTTAACTAATCAAAGGACTCATTGTGTGTCAAGTGAACGTGTGCTGATGGGCTAGTAGACAAAGACAACCAGCATTTTTTTTTTTTGTTATTTTGGCTTTTAAGGAGTTTTCCCCCATCTTGTCTGCAATTTTAAGTGGCTTTACTAGTATTATACAACTGAACGCAAGCCTGTTAATGTAAGGGGGTATTCCCCCTCTCACTGGAAACTCATTCCTCTAGTGTCTTGGGCAAATTGATAGAAATAAACTTTTGGTTCATATTACACATGGATCTTTTGTTATTATTAAAGTTAATGTTAAATGTTTTGTACTGTTAAATGGCTTGCTTGTTTTGTCCTGAAATAATTTGAGACGCAGTGGAAGAGTGCTACACAGGATGTCTGGCTGAATGCTTATGAGAAATTTACTTAAATGTGAATGGTAGTCTGGTAAGTGCTTACTATACTTTGTACCAAGATGTGTTGATCATTGTGGGTGAATTAAATCATTACCAGGAAAGGCACACGATATAATGTAAACGTTTATTACAAAGTGTTGAAGTTGTAGGTTTTTTTCCCCCTCAGCTGCTTGTTGTTTGGGCACCACAAATGCCACTAGGGTTACAAAAAAAAAAAAAAGATGGAGTATTATTAGAAACTGCTTGTCGGAATTTAAGAATTGATAGTATTTTAAAGAGTTCAAGACCGTACAGTGTCTGTGACAACTGTTTTGTCTAGTAAAATGAACCTGTTTGTTCTACTGGAGTCAACAGGCCTTCATATTTCTACCTCTGAACTCAATGAATGTGTGACCATATGACAAATGTATGATTAAATATTTTCTACAGGTTAACACACCTTTTTAGATGTCGTCTTTTTCCAGCTTAAGGTCCATGGTCTTGATATCTGGTTTGGGGGGAATTAAAGACACAAGATAAAGCACTGTAGTCATAGAGATTGTAAGTTTCCTACCTGTAAGGATGCGGTCAATACATTGTGTCACATGTTTTGCATTATCCATACTGAAGCACATGGGAGGTTTAAACTTCAACACATTATCCCAAGGGCCGTCTGTACTGACGACAATATGATCCTCCTTCAACCTGATGATTGTAAGAGTCTCAGTATGTTCTTGGATTGAAAGCATAGTTGGGTAATTGAGTGTTACCTTTTCACTACATAAGCTGCAGTATTTGTTGCTGGAATCTTCAGTGCTCTGTCTGTGACAAGTTCAAGGCCCACAAATAGCCCCACACCTCTGTGTTTAAAAATAAGATTGTATTTCTGATCTTACGCTCAATTTGTAAACGCATTTTTACAAGGAGCATGGCATTAAAAAGTATCCTTCCTCACCGTACATCACCAATTATTTCATGTTTGGAGTACAACCCTCTGAGTAAATCTTTAAGCATGGTGCCAACTCTGATGGCATTTCCTCGGAGGTCTTCTTTCTCAATCACATCAAGGACCGCTAAACCAATTGCACAAGACACTGGATTACCTCCAAACTACAAATACAAAGATGTATCTAGTTAATATTTATTAACTTTACTGAACTGTACTTAAAAAGTAAGCTTTAATTATTAATACAGTATTGAAATACTCCACGCCATTAGATGTGAAGGCATTGGCTATCTCAGCAGTGGTTACTACACAAGCAAGAGGATGCCCATTGCCCATTGGTTTGCCCATGGTCACTATGTCTGGACAGAAATGCTCCCCTTGTAACTGGAATGCCCAGAAATGGGTTCCTACACGTCCAAATCCGGTTTGCACCTCATCTGCCACAAACACTCCGCCAGCAGAGTGTACATATCTGTAATCAGGGTAGGAGACCATCAACAAAGAAGCATTATCTTTTTAATGTTCATGAGTACTTACTCTGCAACTCTGGCAGAATATCCGTTTGGCAAGATTATCTGTCCTCCAACACTTGGTAGTGACTCAGCAAAGAAAGCAGCAATCTACATCCATGAATAAACATGTTCTACATACACTGATATATTAAAAGTTTATATGCAAAGTTTAAAAAAAACTAATTTACCTTTCGTCCTTTACTTTGCACTTGTTCAATTAGATCTTTTACTGCATCAGCATATGCTTTGCCTGGATCTGGCTGATCAGCTCCATACATGCCTCTATATGTGTCTGGCAAAGGAGCCTAGGCAAAAAGGAACACATCAGTACACGATCCAGTAGTGATATCAGGAATTATTGTGACTTTTATTTACTGACCACATGAACCCACTCTTTTTGTCCTTTCAGTTTCCGGAACTTATAAGGGCTTATGTCAATAAGAGATGTTAGATGTCCATGGTATGCACTAGTATAAAAATAAAGACATGTATTGATATAAATGAAGATTTGCATCTAGATTAGAGGAAAATAGATAATAGGACATTTGTTGTTTTGAAAATGTTCTAATCTACCAAAGATCAAACTCAAACAATTTAGCAATTTTCCGATTGAGAGAGTGAGGGAGATTTTGTTCCATTCTCAATCTTAAGTGTTAAATGAAATATTACTGATCAAGGACAATGACGTCTTCATTTTGAGTGTATTGCTGAGCCAAGCGTAGAGCCAGGTCATTAGCCTCTGATCTGTAATAAAAACAATATGCTGTTTAACAACAACAGACCTCAAACTAGAATTATCTGTCTGTTTACCCAGAGTTGACAAAGTAGAAGACACGAAGCTTTTCGGGGAGTGTGGCTGCTAGTCGATCAGCATACGTGACTATATTGTCATGCAAGAATCTTGTATTAGTGTTTAGGAGGTTCATTTGTGCAGCTGCAGCCTCTGTTATGCTAGGATGACAATGTCCCACTGTGAAAGGCAAATATAACCTCAATGTTAAATAATGTAACATTCATTGCAAATACATGTTTCAAATTTTACCATGTTGAACATTACTGATGCAGTCCAAATACTGAGTCCCATTCTCGTCAAACAGATACTGTCCTCTTGCTCTTATTATTTTTACTGGATTATCCGAGTAGAAGAGTCTGCACGACTGCCTGCAAGCAAATGTGTGTTAGAAGTTCGCGTCCACTTTGTAACAGCATGTAGACTGGATTTAGAGAGGCACATACCCGATTAATTTATTTCTCATTGCAAGAGTTTTTTCCTTTGTAAATTCCATCGTGTGATATTTAAATCCCTTTTCATTCACTAGTCACACGATCACGAAGCATTTACAACGTATTAAAGTTCGTTACTACACACGCATGCGCATTACGCATACTCCGATTTCCCTTTCCTGCAGAGGTGTCAGGGTACATTTTACATTTAACAACTTTTTATGTGTTTATGTGTGTATAGATTTTTTTCACGATTAAGATTCGCTTTTAAAATATTTGCATTTTGCTAGCAGGGAGGACGATACTACCACCATCAAACTAAAATGATGATAAATAAAACTTGCAGGCAGCAGCAGTTAAAATTCTCCTCCATTAGATGTTTTGACTCTTTATACACTGTCCGTGGTTTTGACAGAAAGGTTTACACGTGTCAGATTAGAGTGTGCATGCCTGTACCTTCTGTCCTCCTCGATAATGGTACAGTCCAAAGTCTATAAATACTCGCTTAACTCCGTCTCCGCCGGTGCACAGTGTGCAGCTTCGGTTGCTTAGGAACCACTGAACGCAGGTAATACATCAGGACAGCTGTAGCCGACTAGCGTGCTAACAAGCGCTGGAGTATCGCTAATGTAATAACAAACGATGTTCGTAGGTTGTTTTAATGTCGACGTTCAATTATTACTTAAAGCATGTGCATGTTTTATCAAAATTAAGTTAATCAAGGAAAGATATAATTGAAGAGTACGCTAGCTATGCCACATTCACCAGGAAGCTAGCACGTAAACCTGGCTAGCTTTTTAGCAGACAGATCCCATAGGCTCCATCGTGTTTCTCTACTAGCTCCATGGATTGCACTTTATCTAATTAGACGTAAACTTAGTTGATGGTAGGATCTTTATGTTTAAGTTAATAGGTCATGAGCTGCTTATGACTGAAATTCATGTAGGTCTGCCCTTAAACCGCTAGCAAATAGGGGTTTCTTTCAGATGCATTTGACGTGTACTGGTACCACTTTGTACTACAGCCGTTTATTAATGTTATTGAATAAATGGATCAAATGGACACTGCTTGCAGTAGCCACACAACTTGGTGCCTTTTAGTATGGAATTTGTAGGTCACAATGATTATGATATGTTGTAGTTCTGGTAAATTTACAAATTATTATTTATTATGATCTTCTTTGTAGTGGTCATTGGGTATGCCTGTGCTTTTTTCACTTTATATGTTCTATATTTGGCTCAAGGCTCGCTATGCAACACCAAAGTAGATTGCCCAGTGAATTCCTCCTACTAAATTTCATAAACATTACCAATCTGAGATACGACGTAGATATGGTAAAATCATATATAATTTTTACTGATAATTGCTATGTGGATTTTTTATTTTTTTATTACAGAAACACTCGACATGATGTTCAAGTTGTTCTAATTTGGTGTTTTGGTTCTCAAGATGATTATCCGATCAAAAGAATAGAATGAGCCTCATATTTGGGTTGCCAGTTTTAATTTTCAATAAAATTGTTTCACTCTTCCAGTCCCTTTGTGGTAAAAACGTGCTAGCTATCCCAATTTTCAACTTTTTACCTCTGCCCATCTAGATTATGATGTCTACTGCAAATGTCTTCTACACTTTTCCATTGATCTATGGTGCACTACAGGATGCACAGGACGGAATGTGAAGTGGTCCTTTGTTCTGTCTCTCCTCATGTTTCTCAGCCATTGTGAAAGTGAACTGCTTCTGCCTTTTTAAATCCAAACTATGTATGTGCACAATTCAACACCTTTACACTCTGTGCTACTCTGTTATTAATGGAAATTACATTTCAGAATAGTTTTACTAACCTTACTTTTTTTTTCTTTTTATAGATTCAGTGTATGTAATAACTATGTTGGGAAAGTGAAGGAGTCGGTCTGGCTGGTTGAGGTGTGGAGGGGGACACCACAAACCAGGCCAAGACACTGACAAAAATCTCCACTGCTCCACGCTACTTCGCCCCAATGACCAGTCCTTAAATTGTTGCAACAATTATGGTGACTCTCATCACTGAACAGCTCCGAAAGCAGAGTTTGGACGAGGCCCAAAACAAGACTTTCACAGTTAATGATGTAAGCCCAAGTCTCTACTTTTAATGACTTTTGAATGTCCACCTTCAAAAAAAAAATTCATTTTCTTTTAGACACTTCCTGCTCTCGGCTCCAGCCCAACTGTTACTTGGAGCACTTGCACACCCACTCAAGGCAAGTTTGTTTATTTATAATTGCTGTAATTTTAAGGCATTATCTTATTTTTATTCATATTTTCCAGATGCAACCAAAACATCTCTCCTTGAAGCTTCATTTAAAGCAGACTCTCACAGGACCTTGAAAGTTTCAGAACAGTTCAGACAAGCACCTGTGACATGTGAAAAAACATTACAGAACTCACCTCCACCACCCCCTTCAAAACGCCACTGTCGTTCCCTGTCTGTCCCAGAGGATCTGTCGCGCTGCAGAGCCACCTGGCATCCCAGTGCATTTAAAGTTTGGACCCCTATTAAGCGTACCTGTCACAGTGTGGAAACCTCCACTTCGGGCTCTGGAGCGAGTTCTGTCCCTCCCTGTGGTCCTAGTTCATCTATCACCTCCTCTTCTCTGAACTCCTCATCCAGTCCTACGTTCTTTAGCTTGGCCCTTTCCTCCGACTCTCCGCTGCCTTGGAGCTTCTCATGGGACCCCTGTGACACTCTGAAGGGAACCTGCTCTGCCTCATTTGCAGCCCCATCATCTTGCTCCTCATCACCAGCGCCGCTCATTTCTCATTCATTACTACAGCGCCGCTTTTCCCTGTCTCCTGTTCAAATTCAGAACACCTCTGTCATTCTTCAGCCTCCTCAACCTTTTCCAGCTTCCAGTGTTGCATATGGTGGTTCTGTCATGGAGCAGCCTGCACTCTCTCCGTCTCCCACTTCTGTCTGCAGTACACCGCCCTCTTCACGACGCAGCCTGTACCCTATTCTGCCACGATGCCACTCACAGCCTTGTGACATGCGTAGACCTCTGTTAAAAAGGCGCCATGATCAAGACCTCTTGCCATCTGCCAGACCCGGACTTGACTTTGGCAAAATGACACAGGTAAAAGACATACCTTTTTAATATGCTGCATATAAATGCCATATAATTTAAGATGAGGAAATCGCTCAAGTGCTTACAGCACTTGTTTGAGTCCCACACTGGTCAGTGCTTATTGTTGTCCTTCACCAACCTTGTCTAGTGTGAATATGGTGTGTGTTTGAGTGTTCAGTGATTGTTGAGGGAGCCCATTTTAAATTTCATTTCAATCAGATCAAGTTGGTGTGGAAGCTATTTTAAGTACAAACTGAATAACCTGTGTTTTGTCATTTTGCTTTTATCTTCCCAGGCAGCACAGCACATCACCTTCTCCCCTGTAGAGTTTCTTGGAAGAGCCAGTATTGGACCACTTAGTGAAAGCGAAGAAGAAGATAAACGAAAAAATGATGGAGGACAAAATGTTGTTTTTGAAAGGGACTGTACAGAACTGGATTTGAATCTTATTGAGGAAAACTGATTGCTAAGATTTTGCCCTTCAAAGATTTGACTAATCTCAGTTTATGACCAAGATTAAGTGGGTTAGATTTCCAAATGATTGTCATGGCTACTTTATCAGTGCCTGTCTTTTACAGACACCATTTCAAAATGTGCATGAGACTTAATGCACAATTTTTTTAAAAATATATTATGTATATAATTAGTATGCATTGTCTTATCCTTACATACTCACAGGTATATGCTAAATTTAGCAGATTATGATTTAAATTGGTCATTCAACTTGAAATGACAAATGCTTTCTCTAAAGTAGCTTGTTGCCTGATATCTGAGTAGTGTAATCGTACTGTTATACCACAACATGTGTCTAATTTGAAAAGCCCAAACATCAAGGACTGATGTGTTTTATGAACAACAATGTAATGAGCTCTATCAAAAAAGTTTGATTTTATGTGCTTAAGATTAATACTTGCCATTAATATAGTGGTAATGTAAGTGACCATGCCTTAAGCTTGAAATGCTGCGTCTGTGGTGCTCTGTTCTTTCACAGCTGGACATTTATCTTCTCACTGCTGATTCAGATCATTTGAACGGGTAGTATGTGCACTAATAGTCAATGACATGATTGAACCAATGCTGCTGCTGGAATCCATGAGGCACAAGATATTGTACTGTTCTATAAATGAGAAAGAGCTGTCTGGCCAACTGTATGAATGTATATGAAAGAGGTGGTGATTGGTGGCCTTTTGAGAAAAGACTTTCATGGGATGGAAATAATCCTGTTGCACAATTTATGTACAAATAAAAGAGTATTTTTTTTTTCCTAAACTTTGTCTTTATTTTTTTGTAAAATGTAATTCAGACAGGTGGCAAAAGGTTACTACAAACTAGTTTATTTCGAATCTCAATAGTTAGCTAGACGACCTTTTAGTTGTTTTCATAGTCTGGTGTGCGAATGTCACAAACTTTTGACCCATCTACGTACAATCATGAAAACAGGAGCGTTCATATACATTGGTGGCTGAACTGTTTACCTCTTGAAACTAGCAGTTCCGCCGCGTAAAGTGAGGGCGCTCCTTCAGGCCAGTGGGCCTTTTTCATTCACGGCTGACCCCCATCAACAACAACCTACTTCCTCTTCAGTGTGATTTCATGGCGATCGGGAGAGAGGGAACATCGCCGACGCACGCACACTGTCTTTGCACTCTTCTCAGAGTTTATTCTCGGTAAATAACTGATGATTTTTGCAAGATTCGTTAACAGAGCTGGGTAAAAATGCAGACAAGTTTAAATTCAGACACGTAGATTGTTCATATATCCCTTAAAAATGAATTATACTCCCATGTTCTGGGTCAGTTATTTCACATTGTAGCGCCACTCGCCGATAACAAATCGCAGAAATGGGCTCCCCCTGCGCTCACTTCAGAGACACGCTAGTTAACGGCGCTGTTAGCTAATGTTAGCATTGATGCAAACACAGGTAGCGTGCAATGTGTAACCTTAAATTGACTTTTGCAGTTGTTTAAGTCTGTAAATGTGATACTCTAATGCGACTCAAAAGTTTATTTTGCTCTTGCTTTATGAAACTGGAAGCTGTCACAAATCCTCAAGTGTTTGTGTTAGCTTTGGGTCAACTAGCGTTGTTTGTGATAACAAATCGTTAGCTCAGCAAACTATTAACAAGTTAATCCAACTTCAATTCATGCAAGTTTCGCATATCTTCGTGAGTATATTGGGGCTGATCTTGTGCGCCCATTGGCCGTATAGTATTTGGCATTGTTCTGCGTGTGAAGCAAACTACTACTAGCTAGCACTTCATGCTAAGTGGTTAACGGTAACCCCACTGATAAGCAAACACTTTTGGTTAAATTACTTGACTAATGAGATTAATAATACAGAATTTGGCATATAAATGATAATAGAACAGAAAAATAATACTAATGTAAGGACAAATTTTACGAATGACTTGTAATCCACGCCTTGTAGAGCTTTATCTGAAGGAACCGTGAAGTTGCCATTACTCATGGTTCTCATGCATGATCATGATTATTAAAGTATTGAAAAGTAACATCTAACTTCATTACTTAAAAACGACTTCAGTAAGTAGCACACAACTGTATCATGTAAATGTGCCACTAATATACACTCATCTTACATTATGATGCATGATACATGCTTTACTTAGTATATGTCATATTATCCATTTTAATACATCTATTTTATTTTTCTACTTTATATAGACCCCTTTCTTGAAGTTCATATACGTTGTGTCATTTAGTGAAAACTGTCCTTCCGCACTACCACAAACAACGTTTTCATTCAGGTGAGCATTAACAGTTACGGTATAATATTTCTTTTGGGAAATCTCAAGTAGGCTTGTTATGTTTATAATTTAAGTAAAAATTTTTACATTGTCATTGTCTCTGTTATAGGTGCCACTATCTGCATTGATAAAGGGGCTCCCTTGTACTTGGACTACTTCTGTGTTCCAGCTTCCTACTGCTCAGTCTATGGCTCTGATGGACAAACATAAACAGGTCAAGCGACAGAGACTTGACCGCATTTGTGAGGGTAAGATTTCATAACATCTTTTAATAAGGTTTATGATAGCATAATTATATTGCACTGCTTCATAGGCCACATGGGTAAAGTCTTGTTCCTTGGTGTTGTTTTGGGATTCTGTGATTGATTAGAAATAAAATAGTAGACAAAAATATCTGCGCTACATAAACTTTTGTCAACAAAATATTGCATGCTGATTGATCTGACAGTTGTCTGCATTGTCTCTGATTCTAGTGTCCACTACTAGTCTAAGAGCTCAGATTATCCAGATGAGGCAGAAACATATTTGATTTCTCTATGAAGTCAGTTGTATTCTTGATGTTTGTGCAGTTTAATACTTTAAAGGCTCCTTTGGCTATAGTGGATATTTATTAAAGTGGCAGCGTTGTTTCATTTATGATGATGGCTTTGAAACTGACCTGGAAGTACATAGGAAACCTCATCATATTGCGGACTAAATGGCATCTGTGGCATACTGTTGTTTTAGCGGGGGTCCACTCTGCTGTATAGATCATGCTCCAGAGATGAACCATGATTGTGTCCTAAAATGGAGGGAACTGTCTGGGAGAGTCTCAGGAGGTTGGTTGGAGGCAGAGGACAGGGTGATAGGTCATGGCCAGAGCTACAGGGAAATGGGCCAGCTGTCTCTTTAAAAAACAACAGCAACCCGAAGAGCTCCAGGCCGGGGCTATGCTAATGAGGTTAGTGCTGGTTGGCTAGGCTACAATGGTGTTGACTGTGATTGGAGGTTTTTCAGGGGGGAGGGTCTGGGTGTGGGTGACAGCTGGGAACCAGCCAGCCAAGAGCGGGCTGACAGAGAGAGAGAGAGGGAGGGGAAAAAAACGAGCAAAAGAGGGAGAGCTAGGCAAGTGAGTGAGAGAGGAAGACGGGTTGACAGACTTCATAATGCAAGGTTAGCACCGTACTCATGTGCTTTCTAATTTGCTGTGTGTGCGTTTGAATTTTGTGATGTTTGAAGAGAGAGATTGTAGATATGGGTGTGGTGCCTGCCGCTGTGTTCAGTTTCCCTTTATGTCTAGCATGCGGCCTATTTTTGTAGCAGCTACTGTTAGAAGGAACTGTGTATGTGTGTGTCTAGCTGTGTCTGGGTGGAGTACTGCTGCTTGCTGCATTATCATGGCTAGCTGCCCCTCCCCCTCACCTCTCCCTCCTCAAACTGCGTCCAGAGGGAGCAAGGCAAAGAAAGGGAGAGGGAGGCAGAATGAATGAATCTCTGAATGAATTGTATTGTGTGGCGACCATGCTCGCTTGTAGCAGACTTCGGCTTGGCCCGTGTCCTTTACTCAAATTACCCAGTGTAGATCTACTGTGCACAGCAGCCTTTTCACAGGGGGCTTTGTGAAGGGCCACATCATTTTTTCTGCATAGTGAGAGTACATTTATGCCAGTGAATGTAGCTGAAAGCCTGCTAGCATTCTTCAGCCATCTGCATTTTAGCCTAGCCACAAAGCTAATTGATTGAATACTCTGTTGTAGTGTACGGGCTGTGCATTTCATTCATTGGCCTGCATGTTTTCTCTCGTGTTGGGAAATGGTCAGACGTCAGAGAAACCGTTAACAAATATTTGTTTTCCACTGTTGGCTACCAACTCTGGCTCCTGGTCTCACCATTACCTTTTGCTCTGTGCCAGTCGCGCACACACACATACACATACACACACACACACACACATACAGCCATACACATACAGTCATACACACACCCTTGCTCTGCATATGATGGCTCATGTGTTTGGCTAATCATCAGATCATCTGTTGTGTTGAACACATGAAATTGTAAAGTTACACATTTGATTCTTTCCATTGGCATTGGCGTAACATTAATGATTATTAGTATGACTCACATATTTGATTAAAATTGTAAATTCTGCATGTTATATATTTCCATGACAAAATTCAATTGACTATAGGGACCCTTGTAGACAAGAGAATTTAGGTCATTACTCAGACCCCTATGAACCCCCACCACCTCCTCACTGGGACCCCGCTGTATTTTACACCCCTCCCCCCGCAGTCCTCGGCATCACCTCTCCTCCTCAGGCCCAACCCCCTTCTGCTGGAGCTCTCATACAGTAGGCATTCACATCATAAACCACAATTCTTCCACTGCTCTCAGGAACTCTCAGATACTTTAAAAGTTGAGGCTCAACACATCCAGTTATAAGGGGCTGGCCACACACATTTGTAGCATTAGCTAGATTGTTTTTTTGTTGTTTTTTGTGTGTTTTTTATCTCTTTGAGATGCAGTTTTAAAGGACTCATACTATATATAATATTTTTTTGGCACCATACCATATGTGTGCAAGAATTGGTATAGAACTCTTGCATCAGACTGAGAGACTGGAAAATACAGATGGTTAAGTCATGACCATAGAACATTTGGATGATTGGAGACAGGTTGTATAGAACGTCTAGTGTTTATGTTCTTCTACTGTAATGTCAGTGAATGTATTGTGCTTTTAAATGCCGAAATTCATTTACAGACCGTTTTTAATGGTCAGATTGTACTATCAAGTGGGCTATAGTTTTGAATTATTTTGAATATGCATAATTTGTTGTTTGTACTGTATCGCTTATTTGTAAATGCTGCAAAAAGAGCTGGAAAAAAATAAATAAATAAAATTCCTCTATGGTTTATCTAAATATATTATTATTGTAATCAGAATTGAGACACTCCTTTTTGTCACTTTCACTTATCCCTTTGTATCAGTTATTTGATGTGTTATGTGATTCGTAGGTATCCGACCCCCCATCCTCAATGGGCCGATGCACCCCCGGCCTCTGGTGGCACTGTTGGACGGGCGTGACTGTACTGTGGAGATGCCTATCCTCAAAGATGTAGCTACTGTGGCCTTCTGTGATGCCCAGTCCACACAAGAAATACATGAGAAGGTATATAGGACTCTATGGGCACTTGACCCAAATTTTAAGCATGTTGTTACAGTTTTTTTTTTTTTCTTTTTTTTTCTAGGTGCTAAATGAAGCTGTTGCGGCATTGCTGTACCACACAATTACTTTGTCCAGAGATGATTTGGAAAAATTCAAAGGTTTACGTGTAATTGTGCGGATTGGCTCTGGATTTGATAATGTTGATGTGAAAGCAGCTGCTGAGCTAGGTAAGAGGTGCATAAATGTAGTACTTATAAAGGTGAACAAAGCTGATTGTTAAGCCCTCTTCTCTGCCCCTTTGGCAGGCATTGCT